ACTGGACATAAGTTAGCGTCATAATGCGACATCTGTTGACGCTAACACCTCCCCCTTTCCGTCGAACAGATTAATCCTGGCATCTGCCCACTCTATTGAGTGAGCTGATAGAACAATCTGATCAACATCTAGGGAAAAGTGGAAAGCGATCACCAAATATAAACGAACAGAACAAAAGTTTACGAAAAAAACTAACAATAGTGTTAACACAAAAACAAACACTAACAAAAAGAAAAAAAGAATAGCTCACTAATGTTCATGTGAGATCCAATTATAGTAACTCTGTTCATCGAAATCCGTAAAAGTTAGTATTTGTTCGGCATGTTGTTGATGAAGTTGATTATTGAATTGTATACATAATTGATGATGACGAATCTCAGGAAGACGACCATACTTTATGTTTTTATATTTCAAATATGTTTTGAGATCTTTCAATTTCCATATACGTGCTATTGGTCGAACAACAGTTTGAATTGCTTGTCTTTTCTTCTGTGTCTCGTGTCGTCGCTTGTTGCGGCGAGCGATTGCTGTACGAGATCGAGAATGTGAAAGAGAGAGTTTCGTCTTTTTTTGAGGAACTAATTTGTCGAAATATTGTTGGATGAAGTTCCATAAAAAAGGTAGATGATTTATGTGGATATGCATTCCATCACGATTAAGTTGATCATCGGTTATAGGAAGATCCACAACAGTAAAGTTTTTACGAGTTGTTAAGTCTTTGAGTAGAGTATTATAAACATTTATATTTGACATTAATGTAGAAAGTGATGAAAATAAGAAAGATGGTTTTAAGCAAGGAAAAACAGAACTTATAGAAATGTCTGTTTGATGTTTAAGATGAGTATGGTGAGAATGAATCAGGTCAATAAACTCATCCACTTGAACGATAAGTTCTGATGCTGAATTATTACGAATAGAATTAGTTCCGATAAGGAAGAAAACCGCAGAACATGAAGATAATAAAGAAGAAATAGATGAAGAAAGAATAATGGACTTAGCACACAATTGACTGTTATATTCATTCACCCACTGTAAACCCGAAATAGATTTAATTATGAGTTTATACGACGACGTCGTAATAACGGGTGGAAAATATTTGGCGTGACTATCCGCCAAAATTAAAAATAATGGTACATCAAATGGTGTTTTGAATTGAATAGTATTCAAATGAATAGGATTTGTGAAATTTGAAGATGGTGATGGAGTGTTGTTGAGCTGAAAATATAAATTAGTAGATGCAAACAGATCATTCATTGCGTAAGCAATTAACGATTGTCGAGTACGTTTATCTGTATCTGTTTGCCAAGTATGGAGGTGTGAATCTAGTCCACAGGACCAGAAATTGATCGTTAATGATTTATCTAAAGCTTGATGAAAGATAAATTCAACTGCTTTTTGCAGTGACCATACGGCACTTTTTGCTTTGTAAGGACGAATTTCAGTAGGACAGATACATGTATTATAATCCTCTGTAGGATTGTGTGGATTGAACTCATCATCAATATCATCGGAATTAACGAAACAAACTAAGATATCGTCCGAAATACAGTCATCAATCACTGGTTGATGACGAGCTAAACAATCAGGTGTATGTGGATGCGTTTCATTCCACAGTTTAGTAAAATACTTTTGAAGATCTAATGTATTAGAAACTTGAGATAAATCGAAAAGATTGAAATCTTCAAAAGGACCTAATTCTTTTTTAACATCTCCCCAAGCCATTATCTTATTACTGGAAGAAAATATCATTTGGCATAATTGTTGTATCGAATGAAATAAAGAAGAAGAAGCAGGTGGGAGATGCTGAACTTCAATGATGATAACTGTTGAGCAGTTTTCATCATGTATTGCCTGTATTTGAATCAATGCAGGTAGAGAATGAGGATATTGTCGAGTAGGTTTATTAGCTTCAGTATCAATGGTATATAGATGAACTTTGGAAATTTTATGGATTATACCATAAAGATGATATTCAGATGTTCGACGATGAATGAAAATAGGTGAATCATATTTAGATGCAGGCCAATGAAAAAGATCAAGAGTAGATAATAATTGGTGATTCTTTTGAGCCTTTCGACCTGCTTTCAACCAATCGGTTCTTTTACGTTCAGTTAAATGTGTTGGACAAGTTTCCATAGTTCGTGTTAAAAAATGTTCATGAGGATTGGCAATAGGTTGTCGATGAAGAAAAGTTGACTGTCTCATTCTCAAGTCGTTCATACGGCTGTTATACTCCGAGGGACTCGAAGATAACATCTATGAATGATGAGAATCAGACATTGTGTTTAATGAATTAAAAAGTGAATTGTTGAAAACAGTAGAAGATGATTGAAGAAAAGTAGATGAGAAAGTTTGTGATTGAGAGGGTAGCATAAATATGTTATCATATTGCGGGACCATTTGTCGACTGTGGTACATGTTAGAAAAAGCCTATTAGAAGATTGTAAGTATTAGAAAAAACAAATGAAAGATTCGATACGTAGAATCCTTTAGACGAAGAGAAAAAAAAGAATACGAAATGATTGTGAATTCTTATACATCAAATCTTATTTTCAAGATAAATATCAAAAAGATATCATTAATGTAAATCTGAGGCGCCATCAAATCACATTATCCATATAAGTAAGAATCAGGCTGATTCTACCAGACGTCAGAACTAATTGGAAGAATCAATAATCTTACTTACAATCAGAAAGTACCGAAAGATATTACTTGAAAAAATAAATGATACAAAGAATATGATCAAATTGCTGGGTGATAATTATGAATAGGTGAAGATAGTATCAGGCAATTAGAATAGGTCGAAGGTCCGCAACATGTACCTGCGAATATACATGATTTTCTTCATCTTGTACTTCATATATCGGATGATATACTTGAGTTATCACCTTCGGTATAGGTGAAAATTTCGAGTCTAACTTTCCGGAACTATTGTGCATACGAGTTAATACTTTATCACCAATTTTGTACTGCGGATCTAGACGATTACGATCATACATATATTTATTATTTTGTTGTTGCAAAATTATATGGTGTCGTGCGGCTTGGTGATAAATGCGCAAAGTTCTTTTTAACTGCTCAAAATAATCGTTTGGTTTAGAAAATGAGAAGCATGATGGTCGTGCATTAATGGGTAAGCGAGGTGAGCGACCATATATCAACTCATAAGGGGAATATTTTGTTGTTTTATGAATACCCGTATTGTAGGCAAAAACGACTGCCTGAAGGTACTCGTCCCAATTATTATCTTGGGTATCTTGTAGTTTAGCTATCTGGGGAATAAACGTAGCGTTGAAACGTTCAACAATACCGTTAGTTTGGGGGTGATATGGAGTACTATAGGAGTGATTATAGCCGATAAGAACTTTAATATTCTCCATCAGCTGATTTCGAAAATGTGATCCTTGATCACTTAAAATGACTGCTGGTACTCCATATTTACAAAAGTATTCATTGAAGAGTGCTTGAGCAGTAGTTTCAGCAGTACAATTAGGTAATGCTACTGCGGTAACATGACGAGTGAAATAATCAGTGATTACTAGGACATACTGATTTTCACGTGGCGTACGTTTCAAAGGACCGCAATAGTCAATTCCAATCAGAAGAAAGGGTCCCTCAGGTGGATTGATAGGACGTAAGTATCCATATTTCTTTTGACGACTAATATTGTACTGCTTACACAATAGACACGATTGAATATAACGTCTTATGGTGGACTTCATAGCAGGCCACCAATAAAGATTTTTTATTTTATTATATGTACGATCGAAAGAGAAATGTGCTCCTGACATAGGATCGTCATGACAAGCTTGAAGTAAGGAATCTATCATGGATGATGGTAGATATATTACTTCTATATTTCGTTTAGAGTGACGTGAAGGTGTGATTACTTTATAAACAATATTATTTTTGAAGACGAATGGAACGCTATTTTTATTAGTACGAATTTGTTTAGCAATACCTTGTATAATAGGATCTTTTTCTTGCTCTTCTTTCAATTTACTTAAATCGAATTGATTAAATGAAAACCTTTTTGGAAGTGAAGTATCCGATGAAAACTCCATAAGTGATTCATCATTTGACTGGTTTTCGGTAACGATTTTATTATCAAGTGTAGCCTTTGTCGGAATGGAATTATGCTGTTTAGAGTGCGATCTTAATGTCATAGTAGCAAGTAAGTTTTTATTTTTCTTATGTTGAGATGAAAATGAGCTTGCTACCCGTTTAGCTGATAAAGATAATGATGGATTATGGTCCTTTTTACTTTCTAATCCATAATCAATTTCGAAAAGATCGTCAAAAACATCATTTGAGTATCTCGAGAGAAAATCAGGAAGACAATTTTCACGTCCGTTTATATGAATTACTTTATGAATATTGTATTCCTGAATCAAATGAGTTATTCGATCGACTCTAGCATTACGAACTGTTTTTTCCATTATATGACATAATGGACAATGATCGGTTCTAAGAATAATATTACGACCTAATAGGAAAGTACGCATTCGAGCAAAACACTTATAGATAGCTAAAGCTTCTTTCTCAATTGCACTATATTTACGTTCACATGGAGTCATCAATTGAGAGTGATAGTATAGATTATGAATTTCACCATCAATTTCTTGCTGAAGGACTCCACCAATTCCTATTGCACTAGCATCCGTAGTTAGCATTAATGGAACATTATCGACTGGATAGTGCAGAAATAACGGTTTACTGATTAGCATTTGTTTTAAATCATGAAAAGCTTTAGATTGTGCGTATTTCCATTGAAACTTATTTCGTCTATCTTTAGTTAAATTAGTTACAGCATGTATTGGAGCTGCTATGGTTGCAAAATGAGGAATGAATTTTCGATACCAGCTAAGAGCGCCTATAAACTTATTTGCTTGAGCAAGAGAACGTGGTTCATGAATCGCAAGAATCGCTTCAATTTTCTCTTTCATTGGCGTGATACTTTTTTGACTAATTGTATGTCCCAAATAATCGATTTGATTAACGGCAAAAACACATTTAGGAGGATTAAGAACTAAGTTCTTGGCTTGTAAGGCTGCCAAGACACGCTCGAGATGATGCAAATGTTCATCAAACGACTTAGAAAACACGATTATGTCGTCGAGATAGACGAGAGAAAAAGGACGACAGAATTTCAATGTATCACTTATGACTTTCTGAAATGTTGGTGGCGAGTTTTTTAAACCCATAGGTAATACATTGAATTGATATAGGCCAAAAGGCGTAACGAAAGCTGTTTTTTCTTTATCAGAATCCCTGATTGGTATCTGATAAAATCCAGACTTAAGATCGAGTTTCGAAAAATACTTATATCCTTGGCCTAGTTTTCTAATAGCGTCCTCCATATTTGGTAGAGGTGATGAGTCTTTTATAGTTACTAAATTTAATCTTTTATAGTCGACTACAAATCGATACGACCCATCTTTCTTCTTGATCAATATTGCAGGCGCAGCATACGGCGAATGAGATTCCGAAATTAAACCGGCTTGAAGAAACTCTCGCATTAGTTTATACATAGCTTGTTCCTTATCAGGTTGAGGATAAGGCTTACAAGCTGGCGGAGAGTGAGGAATAGTATTGATAAGATGATGAATAGACGTTTTAGCTATATTATGTTTACTGATATCGAAAGTTTTTGAAAAGCGAGTTAATAGTGAATATAAACGATCTCGATGTTGTGTATTCTCAATTGTTTTAACTAACGTTTGAATGTGGTTATCCACTGACGTAATAGATGTTTGTATGGTATTGCAAAATGAAATATGTGAAGAATCTATACGAGTTGTTTGATTCGCAATCGATGGTAAGAAAGAATGATATGGTAGACAACTAACAAGTTTATCTGCATGCAAATCAGAAGAGGCTGTTGACACACCAGAAAATCTAGTGGCATCATCTGATTTTAGCAGAGGCGTAGATATTACGGGTAGTGAACGGGTTAAGGTGCGACACGAAAGAAATCCAACGCAATCCCCTTTACGAATATATTGAGAAAAACGTGATGTATTACAGAATGAAATCATGGAACGACAGTTACGAAAATTTAGAAGAGTGTGTGTAACGAACAAACTATTATAATAATATAAATTTCCGTTAGGAATTAAAACAGAACATATAGATGATATAGGTATAGTTACTTGTGTTGAACGAGTTGAATATGGGGGAATGTATACAGATTTAGAGAAAGTTACTGGAATTTTATGAAGCTCATAGTCTGAGTCAATATTCATTCTTAATAAACGATTCTGATATTCAATTGAGATAATTTGTTGTTTAAGATCAAAACTTAGATTGTATCGATTCATATAATCCATTCTTAGAATGATGTTTGTACATAAACTTCGAGCTATATGAGCTTCTATTGTGGTCACTACATGAGAAAATTGAATAGATAATTCAACTGTTCCTACAATTTGGAAAGGTGCTATTCCATCAGCCAAAACGAAAGAATAAGGTTTCTTATTAATGAATTTAGGTTGTTTAAGATGTTTTAACAGGTTTTCATTGATAAAAGTTGTGGTTGCTCCGGTATCAATTAGGATCTTAGTTCTGTAATTGTTAACAAGAGTAGTAAAGTAGATTAAAGAGCATTTAGATGGTTTTAAGGTTTTCTTTCCGGAGACAACACCATCAATCGATGTCCCCGGCTTTAGAAACTTGGACAGGCCGAAGCCTCGTGTCCAAACTGGCTACATCGACTACAAGTACTAGATGAAAGTGTTTCATGTAACGGCTCAATATTGGCTGATGGACTGACTAGGTCAATAGTATTCGCAGTACGTGTACGAGAATATGTATTACTTGAAGAAGTATTTTGTGGTGGTCGAAATTTCTGATAATTCTTATTAGCAGAGTTATTCGAATAGCTCGGTCGATAAGGTCGTGAAAAATTATTATTAAATCGAACTTTACTTTGAGACGTTTTAGAAGACGAAAATGATGGAAATTTTGAATTAGAATTAATATTTCGATCATTTGAGAATCGATAATTACGATCGACATCTCGAGGATAATTTGACAGATAGTTATTTGATGCATTAGTAAATGCTTGATTTATAGATGATGGTGGATTAGATGTCGATGATGATATTGGTTGTTGTTGTACAACCTGAATACTACTTTGATTGCCAGAATTATCGATTGTCATATTCGAAAGCTGCATAAGTTCTTCTGCTTCTTTAGCATACTCAAGAAATTGAGCAGTAGACGTAGGCTTCTTTTTACGTACTTCGAACTGTATGCTAGGCTTAGTTTTATTTAAAAGATTTTTTAGTTTTGTTGCTTCACTCATGGTGGAATCTGCTTCCTTACATAGTTTTAAGACTTCATTAAAAAAACTGTGAATCGATTGATTTTGTCCTTGAGAATACGATTCAAGTTTTTTGAATGCTAATTCTTCATGAAAAGAAGAAGTAAAGGCTCTCTTCAATTCGTAAACAAACACACTCCAGGATGTAAGAGATGAACGATTATTTTTAAACCATTCTAATGCATCACCACGCAACGAGTAAGAAATCAAATCTAATCGAGTAGCTTCTGGAATATGTGCTAGATCTAAAAGATGTTCGATTTCTTCGATCCATTTGCTTACATCATCTTTACCTCCCTTAAATGTTTTTGGGTTTTTAATTAAATTACCAACAATAGCTTTTCGGAGATCATTCAGAGTTTGATCAAAAATAGAGGTAGATACACTATCTGAAACTGTTGTAGACTTTATGGCTGGTTTCTCACCAATAACATTGGTGACACCAAAATTATCCACAGCAGTAGAACTAAACATAGGTGAATGATGTGTAGAAGTAAGACTTTTACTAGTATTGGAAACGAGCTGATTTGATTCATTTGTGAATTTTGTTTGATAGGAAGCTGGTGGATCGCAAGAAGTATGTTCGACAATTTTACTAGTCTTAGGCTGAAACGAAATGTGATCTGTAGAGTCAAATTTCAACAACAAAAATTCATAAAAATCATCGAATGACTGAATTTGTTTTCGAACTTTAAGATATTTGCGTTTAGCATCTCCTTCGACTAAAAGAGAAATAGCTTCGAATCGAAGATTCCTTCCGATATGAAAATAATTAAATTTATGTTCGGTTTCGTCAAGCCATTGTATTACGTTCTGTGTTCCTGAAAACGGAACAAAATTTTGTATGATGAATGAATCAAAACTATCATAATTCATATCTTCGTCGGGTTGCAATTGACTTTCTGATTCATTATCTTCAAAAGTTTTGGTTAGGCGATTCGAGATATTAATTTTATTATTTTTATCATCGTTCTTTTGTTGATCAAAAACTACAGTAACATCCCGCACTCGATTTTGTCTATCTGTATTATCGACAACAGAACTCGCAATTTCGCAATTCGAATCGATCTGTGAGAACTTATTCGAAGTTTTCATACACTTATTATTATTCTCAAGTTGTGCTGTATCTTTATCATAAGATTGACTTCGATTATCTTTTAATGTTATATTTTGTTCTTGACTGTTTAAACCCTTTTTACTATTCATTACAAGCAGATTATATTCTTGTTTTGGTTTATGTGGTGTTGGTAAAATTGCTTTTCTTCGTTTGTTATCTTTAGAAATTTTTAAACTCTTTTGTTGATCTCTTGTTGAAGTAAGAAAAGATGTATCTGTAGTTGGTTGCGTACTTAATGAATCGAGCGATAGTGATTTCGAAATACAAGTAATATGATCTTGACTCATCATTTAAATTTATTATACGATCTTTTTTATTTTATTTATTTTATTTATATTTTATATATATATATATATATATATTTTAACGCTTTCAACAAAAAAATTTACGAAAAGAAAGCGATAGAGAAAATAACAAAAACAAAATACGGAGACGAGAAAGAAAAGAAAAAATAAGTAAAAAAATTTTTTTTATTTTTGAACATATATATAGGCAAACGAAAATACACAGGTTCGGTTGCCCAACTTCTCCACCAATTGTGAAGTTTCGATTTGAGGATGTATGAAATGGCTTCAGCCTCCGAAATTTTCGTAGGCTAAATAAAAATTATATACCAATCTATACTATCTAACTATAAGAAATCTCACGTCAAAACTGCCTACCGTACTTTGGAATAAATGAATAATAATAATAATAATAATATATGTATATATAAGTCCGAGTTAATCTTTATTGATGAATATCAATAATGACATATATATATAATGTTGAAAACGTTGTTGATCAATAACAATAATGGT